ACACTTAGGTGCAAGATTATGCCAAAATTCCATGTTTTCCTTCCCATTTTTGCTCATTTCTCGGAGGCAAAATGAGCAAGAACGCTCATTTGTACGTCATTCTAGAGAGAAATAAATGACCTTTTTAGAAAGTGGACCATCGATAAGGAAATGTTGGCAGTTTTCTCAAAAAGTCTTGATTTCACGAAGTTTCAAAGTTGCGTGTTTTCTTTTTGAGTTGCAAAATCGACTCAAACGTGACGCGCTGTTTTCGAAGCTTTTCAAGAACCATTAGAGCTACGCAATTCGTTTTGGCATCGTTGGATAGAGAATTGAAAACTCGATTAAGTCAAAACAACATTAGGGAGGAAATTCGAATGGTTTTGTACCAGAAAGCGAAATTTGAAGTGATTAAACATGCTGTTACTTAACATGCAACATATGGATGTGAAAAGTCCAAAAAATCTACATAAGAACAAAAGCAAATGAAATCAATATAAGAAATTCAATTCAATTCAATTAAAGGAAAACAACTTTTCAAACTTACTCTTTATCACAGCCGTTAGTTAGCGAAGTACCATTCTCCGGAATTGGACTTGGTTCTGGTTCTTCTTGAAGGGGACTTTCAAAGATCAAGGTTTCCACCATTGAACCCTTAGAACTACCAAACGATACCCTGAAAATGTAAAAGAAAAATAATTGAATGCTTGGATTTATCATAAAATAAGTAAACGTGTGTATGTTAAGCAGGATTTTCAACAACCAACCAGTGAAATTGCAATAACACTTGGTTTTGCTTAAATTGAAACGTGGGTGTTTTGACATTTCGACTAAATTGTTATGTAAACGGGTCGAAAACAACAGTGCAGAATTTGCGACATTAACATAGAGAGAAATTACGACCAAATTCCCATTAATAGGACAGTGAATAATGACTGCCTCAATGAATAATGATCATATGATTCGAATGGTGCATTCTGCAACGGGTGCTTGTTAGTGTTTGTTAACCGATAGAAACTGAGCAACAAAAACCCAAAAAAACAGTTATAAAATATAATTGCTAGTGATGTGCGGAATTGTATAAATCTTTTCGTAATTGAATATCGGAAAGCGAAACCTAATAGTAATCGGTAAAGTTCTACAGTTTCTTAGCCATATCGTTCTTCACACGCCTCCAGTGAGATTAAATCATACATAAATGATGAAAATCACACTGAATGGAAGTTTTGCAAAAACGGCATTTGAACCTCAGTCAAATAAAGCTGATCAACAAAGGCATACAAAAAAGTGTATTAAATAAAAACGAATTTATAATGAAACTATAAAGTTGTCACTTGACTGAGAATTCCTTCAAAAGTTTGCGATCAAGAAAAAGATACACAAATCTTCACGGCTCAGGTTTAACATCCCTGATTTTAGTGCTTGAAACAACAGCAAATTTTGAACAACTTGGAATTAGAACCTTTGAGAAACAGGAAAACTTTATGCATATTCGACATTGTTATACATTGGTTTAACTTTCCAGGAGCATAATGAACAAAAACAACCACTGCTGCGCAACAATTCTAATACGAATTCTTCTACAGTGAAGATGGGTTGATAGCAGATTTTAAAGCCCAAGTACCACTTTAGAGGGAAAATCTACAATTTTAAATCACCCTGTATAATTCCTTGAGTTGTCACTAGTGGTAGGTGAAAAATGATAAACTGTCTTGATTTAAACATTGTAATTTATTCAACTTCGACCAGAAAACAAGGTGAAACAAAGCCGACCCTCACCTTTAAAAAGTATCCCTTTAGTTAAAAACCGATGCACGTGACGAAATGCTCCTAGCCACGTTATATCAGGCAAATTTACGTGTATGATAACGTGCCAGCTGGCAAAGTTAATTAATTAAAGTGCATTTGGGTAGTTTCCGTCTGATTAGAAGCTATGTGATTATAAAGAAGGCAATCTCGTACATTTACCAAGGGCTAAAAACGGCATTTTCAGCTGATAGTCATTGTTTCAGAAATATAAAATGGGCAGGGAAGCGAGAAATCAGACTTCCAGTCAAAAGCTGAGTAATTCAGTGCGCAAAACTTTTTTAATCGGCAGAAAAATGCCGAGCGCTGTGGCCTAATCAAGCATCGGTCGCCAGTCATGTGCTGTGTGAATCGCATTCTTAGATGGAAAATATAGAATAAGTGTGACTCTGAAGGAGCATTTATAATTCGAAATGCATCTTGATTGTGTGGTCAACTGCAGTAGATGCTGCTCGAGGATTAAGAAATTGAGGATGGGGCGCCAGCTTGCAGAAAGCTAGTGAGAATGATTTCTGCATTTATATGAAATTTTTGAAATAAAACATTTATTCGTGATTTCCGCTATAAATTCCACTCTAAACAAAAGGGATCTTTTGTTCTTATAAGGCATTGCTCAGATTTTTAAATAGTAACTTTTTTCGCCATTAAATAATCAAGTTAGTGTGTCAATTAAAATATGGGTGCTCTGTTGTGAACAAATCTTTAATTATCTTCGAAGCAAATGTATCAAATATTCGCGTGTTTCTGCTGTAAATTTCAACTTTTTCGGTTTTGAAAGTTAATAAAAGGTATGTGAAGCGTAATTATTATTTAGTGATGGTCTAGTGGATAGCGAGTGGTCCTGGCCAGTTTTTCCAAATTTTACGCTCAAACTAAATATTTTTTTGGCACACAAATCGCGCTAGGCATTTGACTATTCCAGTTTTTCTGTTGTCCAGCACCCTTCGGCCTGTAAGTGGTCCAGACCATTAAGACTAGTCTTGCATTTGTACTTCTAAGTTCAAGAAAATAAATGCCGTTGAGTTTTTCCGCTGCTATCAAACTATATCAGCATACTAAAATTGAGTTTTGAGTATTTCTACCCAAAGTAGCAACACTAATGATGCACTTCATAGCTGCAACTTTAATTATCGACAACAAAACAGATGTCCAGCAGGTGCCTGAATTAAATTTAACATTCTAACAGTACTGATTAAGTTTATTCACTGTCACAAATCGATATCCGGATTGTTCAAAATTTGCCCGTTGAAGGAACTACTAGTAACACTGAATACATACTTAATAAACAGGCATCCGCTACTTTAATTAATTGCAGAACAAGTGCCATCGAAAACGTGCATTTAATGGAAAGTATTATTACTGTTAGCAAACTCAAATTAGGTTCAATGATTTCGCAACTTTGTTCTAATAAATGCTAGTTTCGAAAACGTATTAATGTTGCCTGATATTGTCAAGGTCCAAAGGAATTACCAATGTTGTCGGCAATAAGAGCAGAATCCCGAACTAATATGATGCGAGTTAATGCAATTAAAGTCAATTAAGTTACCGAGAAAATAAATAACTCCGTTAATGGACGTTTAATTTGGTATTAGAAGCCTCTTGCAATCGTTAACGTTTGTGACCTGATATGATTAGGAATGTTCCAGTTGAGGAGATTCAAAAAACCATCCCCAGGTTTAATTAATTGATTTTAAGGCCAACGCTCTTCCTACCAAATACAATTAGTATTATTTTCAAATGACCAAAGAAATCTTATGGGAACCAAGTCTGGTTAGCAGGACGTAATTCTCCAAGACGCTTCCGTTTACGGACGTTGTGGTAAACTTTACAGTCGGTTGACTTTGAATCGGTGCACTTAAATGGTTCATTGTCAAGAACTAAGAAAATAACAGATTTGCATAGCTGTATTTAATAAATGCTTTATAGTTCATGTTTTTTGTTGGTCGCGGCAAATTATCGTTATTAAATATCCATGCCGATTCCTGCGAATGGTTTTACATAAGAACACCGACCCGCATCTCGTTCAAACTTTGATATTTTTGTCAAGCTTTAAGGTCTTTGTCGGTTATACAGGATCGAAATATTAATACTTACCAGCTTGATGTTCTCACAAAGTTCCACGTTAAATGTGTGGTCACGTTTTGATGCACGGGGTCAGGTCGACTACAAATATCCAGATCGTGATCGTGTTTATGATGAAGTGGAATCATGTTAGAAAATTCGAAAAACCTTTTTTTAATGCTTGGAAATTTACTGCTACGAGTTAGTCGACTACACAAATCTCCAATCTTAAATAAACAGCAACCGGTGTTCAGTCTGAATTAATTTGCGTCCTTTTTTCAGTAAGTTTTAGCAAGGAAGTGTAGCATCAAGAAAATTGAGAATGCGGAGAAGTATTAATGATGTGCTAATTAATTTAAATGATTTCCGTAATTAACTAATTACAGCAAAATCGCAAGTGTTTGTTTTGTGGACTACCAATCGAGCAATACGAAGTCGCATAAACCTAATGAGACTGCTATTTCTTAAATGAGCTCATGTGTTTTAAATGTAAAAACTCGCGTTTTCAAATTAGAGAGATTTTTCGTTATTCCTCAAAGAACCCAAAGATACAAAATCATTCATATTCGTGCCGTTTGGTGCAAACGTATGCTCTGCCCTGAAAGGGTCACTAGATATCTTAAGATGTCCATTTCAATCAGCTAATACGATGACAAACGTTTTTTTTTTTTTTAATTAAAACTGGCTAGAAAAATCTCAGTTATTTCCACTAATTCGAGAATTTTTCAGATTCTAGCTTGGCCACTCTGGTTTCATTTGTTGTTGCAAAAATTGAATTTATTAGGAAAAACATCACGAGCTGGCGGTTTTAACGACAAAAGTTCGGATAGACCTCATATCTAGGAAAAAGTTTTTGAGATTTTTGCCCATCCCGTTTATTTACAGAGTGGTCACAAAAAAATCAACATTTTTGACTTGCACTAATGTTTTTCTCTTGAGCCCGTGTCCAAAGTCTAGGCGAAATGTTGCAAAAATTAGCTAAATATTTGAAAGTGAACTTAACTGTATGAAGTCGACTAGAATCACAGATTTCACGGGCAATTCTGATTTGAGTCATTTTTCAGGCGACTCTGTATACCTAATTTTCGTCTTAAATCGTCTATGCAGTTTGAGCTTCAAAATCGGGTATAGATCGTGAAAATCGGACCAAAAGCAGAAGAGTTATCGCTGCAAGACCAAAAAGTTGATGTTTTGAGACCACCCTGTAAATGGTAGAGATGCCCTAAAAATTCCAAAACCTTTTTGTTGTCCAACCAGGAGCAAGTCGAACATCCTTGTTTTATTTGCCACCCTGTAGAAAATTTGCATCAGACGCTTGATTTTGATCAAAACATTAACCAAGAGAAAAACAAATCGAACTAAATAACTCACCCTCATTACGTTGAGCAATTTAGTTTCACTTTTTGAAAAACACCCGCGTCGATTACTTAAAATTAAAATATCTGAAAAATGGTTGTTCGTAGCGACTTTGGATAAAACGCATTTTTTACGTAAAATTGGTCGGGGAATTGATTTTGTTGTGAAAAAATTCTCCTTTCTCTCCAGAGGAAAAAACTTTCTGAAAAACTCACCTTTATAGGAAATTTCTGGAAGTTTCCAGAATGTTTTCAGTTACTGAGGCGAGTCGACTGATCGTTGGTAAACACGAGTTTTTTTAAAAATTGTCAAGGAAAAACCAAAAGTTCCTGAATGCGGCCCATAACATCACTCGAAAGACAAAATCGGCTGCTTTAAGTGAGGAAAAACTCTCTCGACTAGAAAACTTCTGAGAGTTTTCAGGATGTTTTCAGTTGCTAAGGGGAAACGATT